GCCGAGAATTTGATTTTCTATAAAGGAATTCGCATTTGCTAGGAATTTATTTCGATATCCAATGGATGATGATAGTGTCTATTGATCTATATGATGTGTTTGTGAATTTTCTTTTATTTTCTGACTAGATCAGATCACCATGTAGGTCAGGTAATCTCTTTAATTTCATCATCAATATTTATGCAACAGATGCCGTTAGTTTACGATGTTGTCGGGGAGGAGGGATGGCTTCAGAGTGAGCCGCGAGATATTATGATCTATATACTGACCTGATGTAGTCAGAAAATAATAGAGAATTCTCCATCGATTTTTACCTGACCTACATGGTAACGTGAACTAGTGAGAGAAAAGATAAACATTGCAAGTCTATCGCCTAGTATGAAGACATTTCGCATAACGAGAAAGTTTAAAAACTATTCCAGTTCGCCGCGAATGCGAATTTTCTATAATCTCGTCCTTATTGGCGAAATATAGAAGTTTTATGAGGATAGTCGTTTGCTGTTTCAGTGAGCATGAATAATCAAAATGCTCGTTAGGATGTAGTTGATTCGGACTTGGGTAGTCACAACTTACACATACAGACAGTAGTATTGAAACAGCAACATGAAAATCAAGAAACGTTTGTGTAATATATTTACCCTGCAGATATGCAAGGAATATTGTAGCGTCCAAATTTAATGGTATCTCTTTATCTTTGTACTCTAGTATGGTGATAAGATAAGAAGCTTTTGGAGATTTGATTATCATTTCCAATGTTTGCTTATTTTCGTCATTGAGAAAAAGGGTTTGATCAGACTGTGGTGACCTATAACATTCAGTTGAAAGTTTTTCATATAAAGGTTTAGCTGTTTTCATTGACTCTTCTTATTGAATTACATACAAAGCACTGCTTTTTCTTTTCAAATACCTTTTCTGTGATTCTGAGGTTGATGATTTATCGGTTGCAGAATTTTCAGGTGGTTTATATTTATCGGCAATTTCATCAGCTAATCCACCAGTATTCTAAATAAATGTTCATTAATAATGACACAAGTTGTGTCACACAACTGTTATCTATTTCAAAATACATTGCACTCGGAATTTTCTAAGAAATTGTCTCACGAAAGGCGATACATGCATGCAATGTACACCGTTCTGTGGAGAACTACAGAGAACTTGGATCTATGGAAAGTTGAAGTTCCAGTATCATCTACAGGTCGCGCACTTCACAAACCATCAAGTTACTACGGATCAAACAAACCCCATGGCAGAAAAAAACATGTCAGGAGTTGTCCAATAGATGTTCAGTAAACATACTCGAATAACAACAACTGGCGTTCCATTATCAATAGCCTTAGTAACAGTTGAAAATGTTGATTCGTCTCCGCCTAACAATATAAGAACAAGTGACACATCTGGCGCTAGAAAAAAATTATGTAAATATTGAACTGAAAATCTTTCTTTTGATAATAACTTTCGCATTTGTTACCATTTTTATCTGGATAAGCATGTTCGTCTAATTTTCTTGCTTGTTTTTCTATTTCATCACGGAGTGTTAATGTATAGTTACGACGAATAACTGTCAAATCATGTTTCGTCTCTGGAAAATTACGCTTTCCCCATACATTTTCTGATCCATATTCATCTTCCAACAATATAAAATGCGTATGATTTGGATCAAGTGGATATTTCCTTTTGCTCTTTTCCATTTGCGATGGTTTTCGAATTCGATACAAGCGCGAACTGTCTTCATAAACGTTATCGAAAGGCAAAATATTTATGTCGGATGTGACCTAAGTTAAAAACAGATATATGTGATTTGTAAACAACATTCACGTCTTTTTTTGAGTGTATTACTCGAGTTCTTTCTTGTTCTGTCTGCAATTGTGCGTTATCTGAACACAATAAATACTTTTAACTTAACTGAAGCGAAGAGACTTATCACATGCCTGTTATACAACACCAATTTGCAATACCAATACATGACATTTTTACTGGTCTTCTTGTATTTTTATATCGAAAATGATCAATAGCCTTACCAACCTCTTCCATTACACCATTCATTATTCCATCAGTAATAATCCATGCATCTGTATTTTTTTCATAGAACAAAGTTATAGTTTAAGTTTGCTCCTTTCGAAGACAGGCTCTTCTATCGAAAACCTGTTGTCTGTGATAGAGTGACTTCTTTTTTCGTGTATTTCAAGCAGGTATTTACGTTCCAGGCCGAGATGAGCAAGATCTAATCAGAACTCTAGAAATTTCTAGTTAGACGCGGATTGGTCTCTGACTCAGACATTTTAAAAGTGATTTTCAATATCCTTCGAATTTTTTGAATTAAGTGCTACACTGCACAGTCTGTAACTGTCTGAGAGTGATATATACTATTTGACGTTTGACCTGCATCCGAACCTCAAACAAAGTTATGAAAAAGTAGTGAAATTGGGCTTGAGAATTTTTAAACGTTTCTGTACTCGTTTCTGTCCTTCAGGAATGACTGGACTCGCCCATCTCTGGTTTTAGTGAACTTCAAAATAAAGTTTTAAAACAACAACTTTACAGCTCTTCCATAAACGCTAAACGCAGCAACAGTAAATACAGTCTCATTCGATCTCAGTTGTTTAAAGAAATTATGAAAAACATGATCGAGTACAAAGTACATCGCTCAAAAGCCTAGGTTTCCAAGCATTGATAAGAGGATATGGAAATGTTATACGTTCAACGTTCGCTCACGAGGGAAGTTCTTCAACTGTTCACTCGCTTTCCGAGCGAAAGCTACTGGATGCTAGGTTATCGACCATTCTGATTCCGAATATGACCATGAGATCTGCTCTTAGGCCTTTGAAGACCGGTTTTCCAAGCTAAAAACCTCTTTTTTTTCCCAAATTTTTTCTGATCTGTCCAGATTGTAGAGCGTGTTGAGTTGTCTATGAAATACTAATTCTTGTCATCTCAGACCGATTTTTGAAGGAAATATAGTCATAATTGTGATTTCTTTCAAGTCCCTATAACCGCGCTTAAAATCGATCTGAAATGACAAAAAAAAGTGTTCCAGAGACGACTCAATACGCTCTACCATGTGGGGAGATCATAAAATTTTTTTGTCGAAAAAACGTTTTTTGCTTGGTAAGCCGGTCTTTAAAGGCCTTGCGACAGTTCTCATGCTCATATTCGGGATCGACACGGTCGATAACCTAGTATTCACTAGTTTTCGTTCGGAAAGCGTGTGAACAGTTGGGAACTCCCCTTGTCAGTGATTTGCGTTTACAAAGAAGTGACTGATACAAAATTAAGCCAGAACTACGTTCGCTGACATTCTCATGTAATTCAAACGAAGTTGATATGTATAGTCTCGTATGTTTCCAAAAGAATTATCCTTTCTTAAAATGTGCATACAGACACACACATAGTTAAGAGAGATCTTACCTGTGCGTAGAGCAGTCAAAATCAAACGATGTTGAAACTCATTTCTTAATCGTCTTTTCATTTCTAATAAATTACCATCGCCAGGAATAGAAATGATTAAATCTGGTGTCGGTAAGTGCCATTCGCTTTTCATATATCGAACAATTGCTTTTGCATTATTTTCCAGTGATCTTTTCTGACTTTGGGAATTTATTGTATAAGGTGTTGTATAATCAGATGTTTCCCCAACACGAAACTTACATCGCATATACTAGATGAAAAAATAACAGAACGACCATAAATAATGCACACATGGTTGATTTTACTATTAATAGGTAAAGATATAATGGGCCACTTTGTAGGTGAAATTAAAACATTCTCATACAAATTGTTGAGATTTGTTTCTCTGATAGTCCATAGCTACTGCCTGTGTTGGCAATGATCCGCAATAATTCTGTAAGACAGACAGGTGCAGAGTTCAAGTTTTCATCAATGCTTTTCTGCTTTCTGTTACGATTTCTGCTTACTACCATGTGTCGAACAGCCTTAACTGTCCTCTGTTGAGTCACGCTTAACTTGTAACAAACTATTTTTTCTGTAGTCTTAAGGGTACCCCCCTCTTTGCTGTAAAAGTTTCGAATTTTGAGTCAAGCATAGCCTAATGTAGAGGAAAGTATGGGCTACAAAATGAGACCACTCCCAGTCCTTCACAACCTTTTCTCAAAAAGTTATGCATTTCTGAAGTTTTTTCTTGAAAGCCTAAAAAAACTCAATGTTTTAGTTTCATAAACTTTTCTCTCATTTCTGTACAATCAAAATTTTTCTTACACATAGTCTGATAGAAGAACGTGTTTTCTTCACGATGAGACGTTTTACAGAATTTTCCGATGAGTTTTCGTGCAGATATAAGCATCGCGGGAAACGCCCTGAAAAAAGTGGCCTCTCGAAAACTATCCTTTTCCCACCAGGCTTGATTGTGCCACATTACAATCTCCCTTAAATTTCATCCGATCCAATTAAAAATTTTATCAGAAGTACTCAAGACAGCATGGCAGAGGTACCTTTTTTGGAATTTTATTTTAGACTTTTCTTTACCGAGTTATACGGTTTCTAAAATTTAAAAACTTGGTTATTGAGACGTTTCTCAGTATTTTTATATAACTCAGTAAAGAAAGGTCTAAAAGAAAAGTCCAGAATTATAGCTCTGCGCTATGACCTTGAGCATCTCTGGTGAAATTTTGAACTCGGCCGGATGAAATTTATGGGACTTCGTAATGCGGCAAAATGAAGAGCCGAGTTTTCTGGAAAACTGGTGAAAGACAATAGTTAAACATTTGAAAACAAAGCGAAAAAGTGCTTCATTGAGTTTTCAATCAGTTCTAAAAATATGAAGCCTTTGTGAGTTTTAGTTTTTATTTCACAGCATTTCTACCGAAAGCCCAAACTGAGGGCAGGGGTATCCTTAAAGGGTTTGTGTTTCTGACTCATCAAAATGACATACAGTGATGTGATTCTTTGTATAGAGACTCATTAGTTGGAGCTGATATACCTGTATAACAAAATATTCTGCACTAGCGTTAATTGGAATCAAAATTGAAAACTGAATTTGTTTGTGAATACTCCTTGTTCTCCTTTTTATTAAGACTTTTGATTTTCGAGTTAGATATGCTATCATATACAGTTAAGTACCCTCTACAGAATGGTAAATGACATTTTCTTCTAGAGTTATGGATCTTTTAAGATTGTTCACTCGAGACCCAAATTTCAGGACTGTAAAAAATATCATTTCCACGTTCTGAGATACAAAAATCGTCCACACTTGCCTTGATCAGCTAAAGTTTACTCAGACACTTATTCATGTAGAGGCATAGATTTTCTTCAAAATGAGACTTCCGTCAGATTTCCACAAGTTTTTCGTTCGGGAGATATATACTCTGTTCCGCCGCAGGTGATACCGGAAATGCAATCCGCTCTTAAGAGTACCTTCTTTAGCTTTACTGTGTTGGCTTATAGGAATGTTCCAAATTAGGTGCTCATTCTAATCGTTTGAATTTGTCTCTTTAGCATCAGTGGTAAAAGAGATATGTCAAAAACAAAAAGCATGACGTATTTTTCCCCAACTCAGTAAGTAATTTTTAGTTACGCGGTAATGAATCGCAAATCTCTGCTTATCTTTCTTTCAGAATTACGCAAAGAACAGTCAGAATCATTTCTTTTAAACACATTGCATTCAGTAGCCCACCCTCTGACCTCATTTCGGAACCTTTACGAGTCATTGTCTGAAAAAGTCAAACAGATACATTTAGCTGGTGTCACAGACATGTGTGCTATTATCAAGTGTAGATATCAATATGTGTCTATTTACAGATGAAAACTTGATCATTTAAAAGTGTGTTGTTCTTGAGTCATATCAGGAGCAAGAGATGCACAGTGGGCAACCAAGCGGACATTAGGCAAAAAATCGAAATAGTTCTATTCTCACACATAAATAGTGCAAAATGTAGCTCTTTAAATTCTTTATCGAATGGTCTATAAATGTCTATTGTGAAAATGCAACCCTCGAATAAAAAGCAGGATATAAAAAACACGAGCAAAAACGACATCTATACACAAAATCTTGATTTTTCTATTTTTATC